ATCTATCTATCTATCTATCTATCTATCTATTATCTATCTATCTATCTATCTATCTATCTATCTATCTATCTATCTATCTATCTATCTATCTATCACCTACCTACCTACCTACCTACTTATTTACGGCTGGTTAATCAAGGACCAATTTTATTTCCTAATATAACTCCCCATCCCTGCAGAAAAATAACTGCCAACTGACTCCATCAACCTGGGTGAGAAACAGGCCAAGGTTTTGCCAACCGCTTCAGGACCAGGTTCTGGAAAGATCTCAGCCTCTGTCCTCCTGCCCAGCGGCTGCAATCCTTCCGTGGCGTTCCAAACACTGCTGGCCCTTTCTTATAAAGCTCCTCTGAACACTTTTACCCTGATTCCGGATGGCGTCTTGCGATGAGGGAGGGCGAGGCTTGGGCTTCTGCTCCAGCCGGGCCAAGGCGGCGGCTGCAGCCATCTGAGCTTCGTTGGTGGGCCCTTGGCGACATTTGGCAGTGTCTGGTTTGGGTTTCTCCTTGGTGGATTTTTCCCTGTTGGAAAACAAGGGGATGGCAAAAGTCAGAAGCTTAAGGACAACCCACAATGGTTGTCCCTGTTCTTAGATCACAGCTAGTCCTCAGCTTACGTCCACAGCTGAGCCCCAAAATTCCTGTTACTGAGAAATTTGATGTGGATTTTGCTCCGTTTTATAACCCTTCCGTGCCACGGTTCTTAAGTGAAACACTGCAGCAGTTAAATTAGCGACATGTTGGTTAAGTGAATCTGATGTCAGGCTTGCAGTCATCTTTTCTGTTGGGTCTTTGGCCTGCCACACTTTCCATTATTCTATTATGCTTTTTCTGTTGTGGGAAAATGGGAGGGGGGATTGTAGGGAGTTAGATGAGATGTAGCCATAACAACATTCTTTCTAGAAAGCCAAGGTCATCCTTTGTCTCTCCACTTCTGCACCTGGCCGGAACTGGATGGGTGGAATCTGTCTTCATGGCAGTGGGAGGTTGGACCGTGGGATGGACATGTGGGTGTGGGGGCAAGATCTTGAACTTTCAACTGGGTGGGGGAAATCGGGAAGCTTTCAGATTCAGGTTTTCCCAGATGCGCCAACATGGCTCTCTTTAATAAATTGGCACTTTGAGCAAGTCTTTGCCTCGGGCTCTGATTTACTTTTGGATGCTATTTGGAACCTGGACATCTGGCTTCCCTGTTAACTTGCCTTGTCAGAAGATGGCAGAAGAGGAATCACAGGACTCAACTGGCATAAGTATGAATCAGTTGCTAAGCGTCTGAATTTTGATCGTGAGGAATGGTGGTGAGTGTGAAAAAAAATGGGCGTAATCCTCAGGGTTCCAAGTAACATCCTGAACGACAGAAGACTCCGAGCCTTGAGTTTCCTCAAAGTTCCACTTTATTAGAGATGTCATGTTGGCACATCTGGGAAAACCCAAATCTGAAAGCTCCCAGGTTTTCCTCACTCAAAGGAAAGTCCAAGCCCCTGCCCAGCACCCACATATCCGTCACATGGTCCAATCAGGCAGCGTCCACATCTGGAGATGCCTCCCAGCCACCTCATCGCAGCTCCAGGACCAGATCACCTTGACTTTCTGAGAAAGAATGTTATTATTGCTACACATCACCCACACTCTGTATAATCCTCCTGAATTGAAATACTTAACCACTATATGGATTAATAATTAATAATGGGAAATTATTGTTGGAACTCTGGATGACTGGTGACGTTATGATCAATTGAAAATATGAATGTATATTATAAATTAATGGGAACTCTTTGTTCTAATCTTCGCTTTTTCTCCTTAAAGATAGGTGATACTACAATACTTTAAAGACTCGTTGTTATTTGATAGATAATTATGAATTCAAGAAAATAAGGATTGTTACAAATGAAAGAATATTAATGGTCATTTGAACCCATAAAGCTCAATGACAGTGAAATATCCAGTCATGTTTAATGTAAACCAGTGATGTAAATCCTAAACTTAAGAATTGATGCACAAAAACTTGTAACCAAACGACATGCTTGATGAAATGGAGGAAAGTTGTTCTTTGAAGCCCCATCCATGGGATGCAGGCAGCACATGAAACCTCACCCCCTCCGGTCCACAGGGAAAAAAAAACCTCTTTGCATGGAACCAGTCCCTATTGCCCTAAAGGGTGGAGGCCACTGCCATAGTCATCTTCCTCCTCCTCGCCCCCTCCTCCTTCCTTTTTCTTCATCCTCCTCTCTGTAAACCCCAACCCTTTCTAGCACTGATGATGTTCCCTAGTTGGGTTGTTTCCTTCAAGGAAACAACCAAGCTCAGAGAGAACCACTTGGGATAAGGCATCCAGTTCTGGTCACCACCATATAAAATATATATATCTATATCTACCTATCTATATCTATCTATCTATCTATCTATCTATCTATCTATCTATCTATCTATCTATCTATCTATCTATCTANACCTGCTGATCTAGCAGTAGCCTGCAGTGCTGCATTTAACTACTGCGCCACCTTGGCTCTTGGCTCTTCAGGCAGCTGTCACACTAAGCTTGTCAATCAGAAAGGTTGGCAGTTTGACGGTTCAAATCCCTAGCGCCACGTAACAGAGTGAGCTCCCGTTACTTGTCCCAGCTTCTGCCAACCTAGCAGTTCGAAAGCATGTAAAAAATGCAAAGTAGAAAAATAGGGACCACCTTTGGTGGGAAGGTAACAGCGCTCCGTGCACCTTCGGTCTTTAGTCATACCAGCCATATGACCACGGAGATGACTTCGGACAGCGCTGGTTCTTCAGCTTAGAAAGTAAGATGAACACCGCCCCCTAGAGTCAGGAACGACTAGCACGCATGTGCAGGGGGAACCTTTATCTTTACCTTAGCCCTTAAGAGGCAAAAGGCTTCAACTTCTAATTGAAGTCTGGCCAATTTCAGGCAGCTGTCACACTGGTGGAAGGGTATTAATTAAGTTCACAGAGCTGAGCTTGTAAACTTGGGGTTAATACTTATTGGGGAAATGCTATGCTACAGTGAAAAACTGCTTGAGAACAAATACCCCAAAAGCTGAATTATTTTTGATGTTAAGGTTATGCCTGCCAGACAAAGGACATCAGAACAAAAGAGCTTCCTTTTGCTGAACCACTGATAATCATACTCTGAGATAATGGGTGCTCCTACAGAACATAGTACTTTGGGGCTACTCTTGAATGGTGACAAAAGAATAGGGAAATGCTACTTTAATCCTAATATGGTTAAGTATGGCTGAGAAATCCCATTTCAGAGTTGGAGACAATAGGAAGACAAGATCATGAAACACGGTAGAAAAAAAAAGATTGTTGCTATCACAAGATGTTTATGCCATGGTTAAACACAAGTGGAAAGGACCTTTAGCGAAAGGGTTACATTAACGTGTCACAAAGGAATATCTGGGTGAATTTTATTGCATGATGGTGGTTTGTGAGTATGCTCGAGAGTATTCTGGCTCAGTTTTTTTTGAGAACTTTTATACCTCACCTTTCCCATTCCAGAATGAGCATGTCCCATCTTTACCACCACGGGGTATTTGGAGGATGTCAGCTGAAAAAAGAAGAAGAAGAAGGAAGAATCACCAAATGTTGGTAATCACTGCTATTACGCATCATGGTCACTGCATTAAAAGGTCACTGCATTAAAAGAAATTAGAACACTGCAAAACAAGGAGCCATGTACAGTGGTGCTTAAAAGTTTACAAAACCTTTTGAATGTTCAACATTTCTGAATAAATATGACCTAAAACATCATCTGTTCTCCACCCGTCTTAAAGCTAGATAAAGAGATCCCAATTAAAATGAGCCAAAAATGTTGTACCTGTTCATTTACAGAGGAAAATGATCCGAATGGCCATGCACAAATAAATAAACAATCTCAATAAATAAATCAACAAGTATGAATTGTTTTCAATCTTAATATGAAACAGGGGTCTTGCAAGCGAGTCAATGGAAGAAAAGCAGGGCAGGCAGGCGAGCTGATTGTTCTGTTACAACTCAATGATTCCTTAATACTTGGTGATTTGTAAGTTAAATACACTGAATGGTATAAAATTCCACCATTCCAGTGACATTTGATCTGTAATGTTGCAACTCTCCAGTGTTAAATAAACCTGCATGTATCAGCTTGAAATCCAGCCTAAATTTTTAAGAAATAAATGTTCACCCCAAAAGAATATATTTGCTCCATCTATTAATTTATGAATTACTTTTCCAGACAATTGCAACATATTCCATATGACACACAAATGTTATTCTTGCTGATAATTGTGCATGCATTTGCTGCAGACTACGTTTACCCCAGGAACCAATGGATTCTGAAAGGCTTAAATATATTGCTAGGAAAGAGAATTTCAAGATGTTGCCATGATTTGCAAAAGTTACTAGTACCACCCATCATGCATGTAAATTGTAAAGAATAATAGTATTCTGTTTGAACTTCAAAGTATATGGGATAGGAAGAAACTGTTGTATTTTTATTTCTGATTGTAAAATTTTCCTGTTACCCTGAGTGGGGTTTTAATGTAACTGATTACATGCCTCAATTTGCTATCAATCTTCCCAAGGGTGAACTTCAAAAACTTTAGCAAGGGGTTCTCTATTTGGTTGCTGAGTGGGCATGGCCATGGTGGGCGTGGCCTAGTCGGCCTCCTGCGCCACAGCGGGGGGGGGGAGATGTTTTTGCCCTTCCCGGGCTCTGTACGCTTTCTTTGAGCCAAGGTGGCGCAGTGGTTAAATGCAGCACTGCAGGCTACTGCTAGATCAGCAGNTGTTCTTTGTTTTCCTCTTGCTTTGTTTCGTATGTGTTGTTTCGTTTAAAAAGAATACAAATATATAAAAAACTAGCAGAAATCCTTATCTAATGGTTGGGTCTATTCTGTAGTGTCAGCCTCTTTGACAAAGGAGATGATGCCTCTTGCCTTAGAAGAGTCAATGATGCCAGTCATCTTCGGACCCAATGGGTTTTTGATATCTATCATTCAGTCTCCAACCTTCCCTTTTGGGGAAAAGTTGTTGACACAGTGATCAGTCTGCAGTTAATGAAAACCTGGAGGAAATGGATTATCCGAGCCCATTTCTGTCAGGCTTCAGGCTGGGATTTAGTACTGAGACAGCTTTGGCCATTGATGTAGATGACTTATGGAGTCAGGATGAAGATGGTGCATCCATCCTTTGTGCTCTTGATCTTTTAGTGCAAAGGTGTCAAACTTGTAGCATCACATCATCACGTGATGTATCGCAACTTTTCCCTTTGCTAAAAAGGGGGTGGGGATAGCCAGCACGTGACGCATCCGGCCAATGGGCTGCAAATTTGACTCCCCTGTTTTAGTGGCTATCGATATTGTCAACCACAGTAGCCTTCTAAGTCAGTTTCATGGGCTGGGGAATGGAGACACACGTATACAGTGGTTCTCTTTCTTTCTCTGGGCCAATTCCTGTTGATATTGTTGGTGGAAGAGAAGAAAGAAATCATTATCTTGACCCCTCTTTTGTGGGAACTCACATGCTCCAGTCTTCTCATCTCCTTTTCAGTTACTGTGTGAAGTCATCCACTGGTCTAGGGTTTGGTACATTGATGACTCTGGATTGGTCAAGTAAGATGTTCTATCCCTTGACTGGAAGCTATGCAGATTTGGACAGGGAGGGACCCTCTCTGACTCAATCCCATCAAAATCAAGTGGCTATGAGTATTTGGTCTATCAGATCTAGAGATATTCCATCTCTGACTGGAGGTGGGATTGCCTTTCTCCATTTAAGAGTGTGCAATCTGGCAGTCTTCCTAGGCTCATGGCTCCTGCTTGAGGAGCAGGTTGTAGCCTTAGCCAGGAAGACTTTGCATAGCTTCATCTGGTGCCCCAGTTCTGTCCTTTCCTAAAATTGGAGGCTCTTCAGATAGTCACTGATTGTTCTGACCTAGGGTTCCTGATACAGTAAAAAGCACACGTGTCGTCTGGTCCATGTTCCTCCCCAACCTCCTCATTGTGCAACTCTGCTGCCAGGTCCACAGACCGCCAGCGGACCACAACACTGATGTCCTGGTCACCTCATGGCCTAACTACTGTAGCATGTTCTTCACAGTGCTACCCTTGAAGATCATTCAGAATTTTCAGTTGGTCCAGAATGCAGCAGTGATGGCGATGATGGGCATGACTTGGTATATCGATGTACCTTCGTGGTTCAAGGTACTTGATAATAATTTTAAAGCAGTGGTTCCCAACCTTTTGGGGGGCATGCCCCACCTAAGCATCTTTAAGAGCCGAGGTGGCACAGTGGTTAGGGTGCAGTACTGCAGGCCACTTCGGCTGACTGCTATCTGCAGTTCAGCGGTTCAAATCTCACCGGCTCAAGGTTGATTCAGCCTTCCATCCTTCCGAGGTGGGTGAAATGAGGACCCAG